CTGCAGCTGTTACCTCTTCTAAAGTTGCGTTGACCTGCATTGCTTGTGGTCCTTTCTTTCCTTGTCTTTTCATACTGCTTGCGTATCTTTCCTGCAGGCACGGGCGGCGGCTCTGCTCTCTCCTTATTCCAATTGGGGTGTCGTGGCTACCACGCCGGCAGGTCACTGGGCCTGTTCTGGGCGCTGGCGGCGGCTCTGTTCTGCCCCTACTCCAATTGGAGTGACGAGTGTACCACGCCGGCAGGCCACTGGGCCTGATCCGCCGGTCGGTTGCAGGTTTGCCTACCCTGCAGGCACGGGCGGCGGCTCTACTCTGCCCCTACTCCAAATGGGGTGACGTGTCTATCGTACCGGCAGGCCACTGGGCCTGTCCCGCTGGTCGGTCGCAGATCTGCCCACCTTTCGGGCACGGGTGGCGGCTCTGCTCTGCCCCTACTCCAATTGGGGTGTCGTGACTACCCCGCCTGCAGGTTGCTGGGCCTGTTCCTGGCACGGGCGGCGACTCTGCTCTGCCCCTACTCCAATTAGGGTGGTGTGTGTTCCACGCCGGCAGGCTCCTGGGCCTGATCCGCTGGTCTGTCGCAGGTCTCCCTACCTTGGAGGCGCGGGCGGCGGATCTGCCCTGCCCCTCCTACCACGCCTGCGGACCCCTGGGCCTGATCTGCAGGTTGGTCACAGGTCTGCTCACCCTGCGGGCACGGGTGGCGGTTCCGCTCCGCCCCCACTCCAATTGGGGTCACGTGGCCACCACACCGGCAGGGCCTGATCCGGGCGTGGGCGAAGGATCTGCTCTGCCCCTACTCCAGTTGGGGTGACGTGTGTACCACACTGGCAGGCCACTGGGCCTGACCCGCCAGTCTGTCACAGGTCTGTTTACCTTGCAAGCGCGGGTGGCGGCTCTGCCCTGCCCTCCTACCACGCCCATGTACCACTGGGTCGCGGGTCTGCCCACCTTGCGGGTGCGGGTGGCGGCTCCGCTCCGCCCCCTCTCCAATTGGGGTCACTCGGACACCACGCTGGCGAGCCGCTGGGCCTGCTCCGGGTGCTGGCGGCGGCCCAGCTCCTCCCCTCTGGCTCGATGACAAATTGAGCAGACTCGGGTGTCTGTGCCTCACCCCCCCTACCAGGAGACCAACTGCTTATGTCACTGCTGGTATTGATGAAGTTCTCTCCTCCGCCGCTTTCTGATGACATCAGATCTCTGCCATGTTGGTATCCTATGCGAATGGCAGCATTTCGTTCCCCTTGCCGGGCAACCAAAGCAACAGGTGAGTCCTGACCGGCCCTCAGCAGGACCCAGACCGAGAAGCAGTTTCCGTGGGCTCCTAGCTCTGGGCCAGGGCAGTTCCGGGAGCCGGAACTCGGCCGCTCCGTGCTCGGTGTAAGCTCCGATAAGAGTAGGCTCCAAGAAGCAGTCCCCGCGGGCTCAGTTCTGGGAGCCGGAATTCGGCCGCTTAGTGCTCGGTGTATGCTCTGATAGGAGCAGGGTCCAAGAAGCAGCCTCCGCAGGCTCCCCAGCCCTGGGCCAGGGCGGTTCCGGGAGCCGGAACTCGGCCGCCCCGCGCTCCGTGTTCGCTCCGCTAAGATCAGGTTCTAAGAAGCCCCCAGGCACTGAACCCTAGCAATCTGTCTGCAAGCCGCAGGCGAATGGCAGCCTGAAATTACCTGTTCTATGGCTGAATGAGCTGCGGTCAGTCGAAAACAGGGATGGTGACGTCAGCTTTCCAACATGGTGGCTGCTGGCCTCCTCTGTGGTCTGACCGGTGTGGAGAACCGAGATGGACCGCTTCCTTCCCCCGTCTCGAACCCAGAATTCAGCCCTGAGTACGGTGCTTGCACGGCTGGCAGAAACTGCAGCGCTGTATCCCTGCGTCGCTATCTCCTCGTTTCCCAGCGCGCGCTGCAGACTCTAGCCGCGGGGCGATTTGCTGAATAAGCAGTGTTACCCTCCGTGCGACAAACCTCTCGCGTTTGAGTCCCCGTAGCCTATCCTCGTGCGATGGAAATCCTTCCTCCAGGTTCCGGAGCACCCCACTATTGCTGGAAATTCCTAACAAGATAGCCTTTAGCCGTCCTGACTTGTCATACTCCCACACAGTGAAGCAGCACACGGGGGCAATGCACTCCCCTCGCTGCCATCTTCCAAAGTCCTTCAATATTGTTTTCACATATTTCCTCCCAGTTTTTCACAATGTATTTTTTGTTTTTTTATAGATTTCTAGATGACTATACTGAGGATAATTTTCATCTGTTAGTTTTTTATTTAGAAGACTTAATTTTTTGACATCTTATTGGTTATTTTAATTATACATGACAATAGAATCCATTTTGACATAATAATAAAAACATGGAATCATGTTCTAGTTCAGACCCCATTACCTCTCCTTCCCCTTTTCTCCCTTGACTCCTTGCACATTTCCCTGTATTGATCTTTCTTTTATGTATCCAGTTATTTTTTAAAATTAATTTCTTGAGGATGTACTTGGTGGTGGGACTGTGGTGTATTCATGTATGTACATAGGAAAGTCATGTCAGATCCATTCCACCGACTTTTCCTTTCCCCATCCTCCTTCCCTTCCCTTCAATCCCCATTGTCTACTCCACTGAACTTCTATTCTGTCTTCCCACTTATTTAGAAGACTTGCAAAAGCAGAACTTCTAGGTATGTACTAGGCACTAGCAAATGTCAATACTTACTTTCATTTTCTTGCTTAAGAGCTTTTATTCTCTTTAAAATAAATCTATAGAGATAAAGTCTCCTTTGGACTACACTCATATATTACATTCCCTCCTCTCTCCCTCCCCAGAGGTAACCACTGTCAGGAATGTCATGCAAATAAATTCTTCCTGTGCACTTAAAAAGGCAGAGACCTGGCTTTGATTGTTGAAAAAAATTTTATGAATATGGATTTGAAAATATTTTATGTATACAGAATGATATTATAAGTTTGTTCTACAAGTTGCTTTTTTTCCCCCAACCAACTCTTAAGTTTTTGAGCCATTTACACGAATGTCATTACTAGTAAATTTGTATTTAACTTTTTCCATTTTATTTTGTTTTCACCTTGGGAGGACAAAACTTTTCCTTGGCTTCCCCCCTTTCTTTTCTAAGTCTGGTTAGGTCAATCAGGACTTCTTCAGATGGATGTTTCTTTCTTAAACTATCAGTCACTATCCTCTCCTCATAAGAGGAAGCTTTGGCTTCCCTCCAAATTTCTCCTCTTCCTCTTTTTATGTTTTAGTTGAATACTATTTTAGATTTTTCTTTTTTTGTATCCGGGAATGAACTCAGGGCTCTCAGCCACTGAGCCACATCCCCAGTCCTATTTTGTATTTTATTTAGAGACAGGGTCTCACTGAGTTGCTTTAGCACCTCACTTTTGCTGAGGCTGGCTTTGAATTTGTGTGCACCCGTCAGAGTACAACTTTGTCTTCTTCTTTTTTTATTTTTTTTCCACATTTTTTAGTTGTCAATGGACTTTTTTTTTTTTACTTATTTATTTATATGCGGTGCTGAGAATAGAACTCAGTGCCTCACACAAGCTAGGCAAGCACTCTACCACTGAGCCACAACCCGAGTCCATGTATAACTTCTTAATGTACTTTTAATACTATGTGTTTACCTCTAGATTTGCTTTTATATATCTGCTTGATGTTTCATTTCAGACTGAAGACTCTTCTCCCCACACACTTTTTCATTCTGGAAAATTCTATACTGATTGAATTCCTTCTGTTCTCTTTGTTCTATCTTTCTGCACTCTTATTAGATACATGTTGAAATTTCATTTTAATGTTCTGTGTCTCGTAACTTTTCTTTCATATCTCAGTCTCTTTTTATGTGGGTTTTCTCGTATATATATGCCAAATTGCTGATACTTTAAAAAAATTTCTCAAGCCAGCACAGTGGTGCACCTTAGTGGCTTTGGAGGCTGAGGCAGGAGGCTTGTGAGTTCAAAGCCAGCCTCAGCAAAAGTGAGGTGCTAAGCAACTCAGTGAGACCCTTTCTCTAAAAAATATACAAAATAGGGCTGGAGAAGTGGTTCAGTGTCTGAGGGGCCCTGAGTTCAACACCCCCAAAAAATTCTCCATTGAGTTTTTATTAATCAATGTTTATGTCTTTGATTTCAAAAATTTTTCTTCTACTTTTTCAAATCCATATCTTTTTTTCCTACATGCCATTCTTTTCATTATCTCTGAACATTTAAGCATTTTAAGCCCTTATTCACTGTAATTTTTGGCTCTATGGGTCAAAGTTCCTTTTCATGAGTGTTTTGCCTCTGTCTTGGATGAGTTGAGTTTCCTTATGTGTGATGTTAATTTAAGTTAAGCTTGTCTTCAGCGAAAATTATACCCACCCCCATATATTATAATACAAATTTTGTCTTTGTTCTGGTTAAGAAACTCTAGAAGTCACTGATTTTATCCTTTTTTTTTTCATCAACATTGACATTTATTTTTTGTTCTTATATGTATCACAGAAAGAGATAATGCCTGAATTTATCTTTGTTCCTTATTTGTGGAGTAACCCATATTTTATGCATTGCCATTCAAAGATTCCCCATAGAGATTATTTATACTCATTTTTTCTAGTAAAAAAATGAGCTTTTTTGTGGCTGAGGTTTGGGCTGCTGCTATCCCATTGGTGACTTCTTTCCACCTGTGGTAGAGCAGTCAGGTGTTAGCTATGTGGCTTTTGTGACTCCCTGTACTGGTGGGTATAGTTTTACATAACCACCTACCTCCAAGCTTGTAACAGGAGCCCAGTGTTGGCACTTCACCATCTAAGGGACCTTGACAATCACCGACCAATTTCCAAAAGATCGTGCCAATTTTCAACTTGTAAAAGGGTGTTGGTTACAACCTATTCTTGCCAGCATTGAAGATTATCAGTAAATCTGATCAGTGTGAAGCTTTTATGCTTTTTAAGGTGTTTAGCCAGGCAAAATAGTCTTTCTAATTCCATTTGGTAATCTTTTTCTTTCCTTTCTTTCTTTCTGTAGATTCTGAAAGATCATGGAGAGGATTTTCTCGTTGGCAACAAATTCAGCTGGGCAGATATACAGCTGTTAGAAGCTATTTTAATGGTGGAAGAATTTGATGCTCCTGTCCTCTCTGACTTCCCGCTGCTAAAGGTACTATATTAACATCCCCAAGAAGCCCAGGAAAACATGAGCAGAAACAATGACAACAAAATGTGTCTCCAGGTCAATCTCAATACTATTTCAAAATTATTATTTTATTCAGTCTGGTCATTTTCTCTTGCTTACTCTATAGGGTCTGTTAGGAGATAAAACCTTATGATGGGAAAATAGATGTTTTGATTTCTAACATGAAAAATTAGTACTTTCTCCTTGTTTTCTTTTTATGCGTTGAGCATTTTTTTTCCTGATGAAACAAGACTAACAAACTTTCCTCTCCAGCTCCTACCAGACAGTCCTGCCCACTTTTAGTCCCCGTGAGCCTGAGCCCCCTACACAGTCCCTCCATTGCTCAGAGTGAAGTGTGCATGTGGCACTGCTATCCCTATCGCATTGTCTGACCCTCAGACAGAAGCCTGTCACTGAGGCCCTGACCCAGACTCTGTGCGATTCCTTAGAAACATCTTGTCTCATGGGTAATTGTGGTGAGCCGTTCCTATAGACCGTGGCCGCCATTAGAAGATGGCGCCGGCTTCCACTGTGGCCTGTGATAAACAACTCCTTTTTTGGAGAGTTGGCACGTAATCCCTTATCACCCTATGAGAAAGCTCCACGTGGCAGCTTTGCATTGGGGCTTGAGATGCTTTATTAAGGCTGGGAGGGGCATCCAAGAGGGGGAAGAAGAAATATCAAGGGCCTGAATAAACTGCTGAAAGAAGATTCCTGAGTTGCGTCTTCCTTGTGGGCAAGGGGTCGCGACAAGTGGTGCCGAGATCCGGGAACCAGAACTTTCAGCAGTCAGGGGTGGTGCACCGGTTAGTCCCAGGTAAGTGGGATCCGCGACCAAAGCGGGGTTAGTCCCTAGTAAGTGGGATCCGCGACCAAAGCGGGGCAGCTCCTCTGTAAAGAAAGAGAGAGCATTACATTTTATTGCAGCTGCACTGTGTACTTTCGCTTTTGTTTTCTGTGTTTCTTTTGTTGTGTCATTTCGCTTTTGTTTTTTGTGCTTCTTTTGTTGTTGTGTCATGGGTGCCGCATCTTCAAGTCCGCTTCTCCTGGCCCTAGATGGCCTGTTGCGTTCCAAGGGCCTGGAAGTGAAACATAGTACTTTACAGAGATTTTTACAGAAGATAGATATCGCTGCACCATGGTTTGCATTTTCGGGCAGCCTTACTGTACCTAGTTGGGATAAATTAGGCAAAGATCTTGACTTTGCATCTGAGCAGGGCATATTAGAGGGTGGGGTGATACCCCTTTGGAAAATGGTCCGTAGTTGCCTTACAGATGGTAAATGCCAAGAAGCTGTGAGTGAGGGTCAGGCCGTTCTTGAACAACTACATGAGGAAAAATCTGAAGGATCACATAGTGAAGTGGCAGAGAGTATCAAAAGTAACAGTAGTGAGAAGGCAAAAGAGCCTGAAGATAAAAATAGGAGAAGGCTCTATCCAGACTTGACCGAATTCAAAACATCTGAGGACACAAGCGGCTCAGAGTGTTCTGAGGACCTTGATATATTGTTGCAACAACTACATAAGATAAAAATGAAAAAGAAGAAAAAGGAGACACAAGGCGCGCATGCCTACTGTAAGAAGGGGGAGGGATCTAATATTGGTCAACAGAATTCTGAGGAGGAGGAGGTTGAAAATTTAGAAGAAGATATGATGCCTGTTGCCCCACCCCCATATGTGGGGGGGAGCCAAGGTTCCGGGAGATCTTTTCATGCGCAAGTTTGGAGGACAGTTAATACAGATATGGGACTTGCGTACCCGGTGTTTCAGGACAATAACAGTGGAAGATATCATGAGCCTTTAGACTTTAAGATAGTTAAAACCTTGGCAGAATCCGTCCGCACTTATGGCATAGATGCCGCTTTCACTCTCACTCAGGTGGAGGGACTTACTAGATTTTGTATGACTCCTTCAGATTGGGCTAGTCTAGTCCGCGCTTGTGTTTCCCCAGGGAAATATTAGGAGTCCAAAGTTGGCTGTTTAATGTTTCTGGCAGTACCCAAAACTCGGAGCGAGGTAGGAGGCTTAAAATTTTTGCAAATAATTCACAATTATCTAATGCTACATTACCCTCCGCAGCAGTCTGTCTCCAATCTCCGTTCCTGTTTCTTTTGGCTAATGTTACATTACAGGGGATGCTTAATTGTTCTAATGTTACTTGCTACTTGTCTGAGTGTTGGAATGGCTCCTGGACTATGGCAGTGATTATGAAAATTCCAACCTTTGTCCCGATCCCGGTTACTGCAGATCCAGAATCCTTTCCTATTGTTGAATTGATTAGAACCCGTAGAGATTTTGGAATTACGGCAGCTATAGTGACAGCTGTGGCGGTATCTGCTGCTGCAGCAGTTACAGCTGGAGTAGCCATGGCCAGTCAAGTACAAACTGCTGCCACCATTAATCAGGTTATTCAACAAACATCCACCATACTTGAATCCCAAAGTAAAATTAATCAACACATTTTATCTGGGATTTTGGCTGCTAATCAAAGGATAGATCTGCTTCAAGCTCAAGTTGAGGAGTTGTCTGATCTAGTACATTTGGGTTGTGTCGACCAACGTGCACATTTATGCATAACCTCTGTCAGATTTAATGATTCCAGGAATGCCTCCCGCATCATTGGCGAATATTTGGCCGGAAATTGGTCCATGGCAGTGGAAGACATGATCCAGTCTCAACTAACCCAGATAGCTGTCTTGAACAGTACCCGTGTCGAACCAGTGACTTTGGGTCGATTCACCGATTGGATATCTTCTGCTTTTTCCTTCTTCAAGGAGTGGGTGGGGGTAGGCATTTTTGGTGCAATGTGTTGCTTCGGTGTTGTACTTTGTGGCTTCTCTGTCGCCTTAAAGCTCGCCATGCGCAAAAGAAAGCTATGATTGTACAGGCTCTTGCGGCCTTAGAAAATGGCATTTCTCCACAAATCTGGCTTGCACATCTTAAACAGTGATTTCTGGGCATGGCCATTGCACCCCAAGTTAGTTTCACATTGCACTGGGATTGGCATGTCCTCTTCTTTATGCTCTCCCGGTACTGAATAGCCCTTGCACTCTGCAGGTCTTGTTACCATTGCACGCAGATGGGTTTCAGGACTGGTCTTTCTTCTCGGCTACAGACTCTTTACCTTCCTCTGGGGCTTAGGGATTGTGTTGCCAACTTAAATTTTGTCATCATTACCAGGCTACCTGTGTTATCCTACTTCTCACCGTCGTCATGATGCAGGATGCGAGGCAAGGCACTGCACTTGAGTGATCCTTGACGTGGACCTCAAGGAGAGCATGTCCTATTGCATGCGGGTTAGACGCGTCCACGCCCCGCCCTACGAAAAAAGGCGTCGGCTGATATGGGATCAGGTCTGGGGAAGGCGCCTCCTTAGGACTGAACCATACATTGCAGCCACTTCTGCACAGTGGGATAGGACCTCTACTTTCGCCTACATTGTTTTATAAAACAGAAGGGGGAACTGTGGTGAGCCGTTCCTATAGACCGTGGCCGCCATTAGAAGATGGCGCCGGCTTCCACTGTGGCCTGTGATAAACAACTCCTTTTTTGGAGAGTTGACACGTAATCCCTTATCACCCTATGAGAAAGCTCCACGTGGCAGCTTTGCATTGGGGCTTGAGATGCTTTATTAAGGCTGGGAGGGGCATCCAAGAGGGGGAAGAAGAAATATCAAGGGCCTGAATAAACTGCTGAAAGAAGATTCCTGAGTTGCGTCTTCCTTGTGGGCAAGGGGTCGCGACAGGTAATTGTGGGTTTTATAATTTAAGAATAGAATTTTTTCTTATTATAAAAGAAATGCAAGTTCATGTAGCTATGATAGACATTTGCCTTAATCAAAAGAAGGGGAAAACAAAGATTTATAATCCCTGCAGCCAAGTGTTACTGGCATGAGGGCATGAGACTTCCTGACATATTATTTTTCTTAATATAGGATTATGCCAAATATCGTTTTGTGGCTTGCTTTTAAAATTCTTTTCAATTATCAACAAATTTTCTTCTGCAATACTTTTACTTTCAGTGGGCAATGGAATAATTTTTTTTTTTTTGGAAGAATGGAAGCTATATAAAAAGGACATAAATTGAGAAGTCTCATTTTCACCACTGCCCTCCCATTTTCCTGTCTCCGTAATCATTTTTACAGAATTCTGCATATCCTTTCAGTGCTCCTATTTATGCAGATATCAGCAAATATGAAAATATATTCTTGTTTCATCCTCCACTTTTGTATACACTATATAAAGTACTATATATTCTGTTCTGCTCCAGTTTTTTTTTTAACTAAAAAATACATTCCAGAGATGTTCCCCATCAACAAAGGGAACTTCTATTTCTCTTTCTTGTTATATAGTATCATTTTAAATTGCTGACTTATATTCCTTGTAGAAATATAATTATATACATATCACAATTTGTTTATGTAACCAATTCCCCTTCCTGAATATAGATTATTTTCTGTGTTAAAATTCTGATAACTATTTTCCTTGCTCACAACCCTACTTATTCTCGTATAATAAATTCCTAGAACAAGAATTGATAGGTAAAAAGCATGAATATGTTATAGTTTTTGATATGCACTGCCTGAGTGTGATGTCTTTTTTTTTAAAGAGAGAGAGAGAGAATTTTTTTTTAATATTCATTTTTCAGCTTTTGGCGGACACAACATCTTTTTTTGTATGTGGTGCTGAGGATCAAACCCGGGCCGCACGCATGCCAGGCGAGCGCGCTACCGCTTGAGCCACATCCCCAGCCCGACAGTGTCTTTTTATTAAGATAACTCATGCTCAGTACACTGGCAATTGCATCGCTCTCCCAGGAACATCCAGAAATGCATTGAAGGATTGACTGTTACAACATACCAGGCTCTGCATACTAAAGTCTAAGCACCGTCCTCTTGTGACAAAGTTCTGATTTTTCTAAAAGGTCATGAGATCTATGGAGGCCCTGATTTTACTATTTCTTTTTCAGGCATTTAAAACAAGAATCAGCAACATTCCTACAATTAAGAAGTTTCTACAGCATGGGAGTCAGAGGAAGCCGCCCCCAGACAGCCACTATGTTGAAGTTGTCAGGACGGTTCTTCAGTCTTAATGGCAGCAGGTCTCGGGTGGCTTCAGATCCACTTGCAGCATCAGTGCATGCCAGCTATGGGCACACCAGAAACAAACTGTAAATTCTAGGAGTGAAACATTTAAAAAGAACAAACTATGCTGCCATCAACAAATGCTGATTAAATGCAGTATAAAACCATTCTGTATGTGAGGTTTTTCTTCAGTTTGTCAATTGTGGATGGAGGTCTAGAATTTTTATGAAGTCAATGTTCTGCATAAATAAATAAGAGGCAGACATATTCAAGGCAGGGAACTACATGCAGCATTCTTCATGCTATCTTCATCAAGATTCTGACCACTGGGGAAAGAGTGACCACACATTTAGGGGAACAGGATCTCTCTAACACCCACACTGATTTCTGAGTACTTTAAATAAGAAAAAAAAAGTAGCAAAGGGTGAAGTGGGATTAGCTGGTTCTACTTAGTAAGTCCTAGGGGGAAGTAAGGAGGAATGGGAATGTCCAGGGAACCCTATTTTGAAACTTTGGAAAAAAAAAAAAGAACTTGGATAACTAGATGACACTTTTCCACCAAAGACTGGGTTTTGCTTTGATTTAAAAAAAAATCCCAGATAGCACTGAGATTAAGATATAACCAATGAATATTCCCTTATACAACTTGACCATAATATTTCTCAGCCTTGATATATTTTCTTTAAGGACTATTGTTCCCAAGTTGTATGATTTGGAGTTCAGCCCCACATAGGGCTCATTTGATTGGGAGGATAGAAGAGCTGGTTTAGCGATGGAGCTTCTCTTAAGGACAATGATACAGGCACAATTGTGGTTCTTGGTGGTGTCTGGTCTGGAACAAGTCTCCTGCCAGTGGTTTAGAGTACATGACTCTATCTGCTCCAAATCTCGCTGGGACATTCTGTCAATTTCTGATCGTGTATCTGGGTACATATCCTTACTTGTAAAATGATCTGGTGACACCAGATTGCATGGCATTTTCTAAGGGCATGACCTAGTACATGACACCCTGCCCCATTCATTATTCTTTCCCTTTCTTCCGACAATGGATTGATCAACAGAATTATGACAAACCTGGGCATTCACCATTCCCTTTGTTCCAGTCCACATGAACCTAAGTTCCTGCTCCCAGCCTGGTTTTCTGTATTAGTCAACTTTGTGTCACTATAATGAGGTATCCAAGACAAATTAATTTATAAAGAGAAAAATGTTGATTTTGGCTCACAGTTCTGGGTGTTCTAGTGCAAGACCAAGTGGCTTCATTGCTTTGGTGAGGATGGTACATCATGGTGGAAATGTGTGGTGGAGCAAAGAGGGGAAGGATCGGAATTCTACAATCCCCTTTGGGAGCACACCCTCAATGACCCAAGGGCTTCCCACTAGGTCCCTCCTCCTAAGGGTCCACAACAGCACCACCTTGGAGATCAGGCCTTTAACACAAGAACTTTTGAAGACTATTCATCCAATCCACAGCAGCAGATGATGGTATTTAGCTAATGGCCCAACTTCATCCCCCAATTAGAGAAAGCCATTGTTGATCAGCAGCTGCTTAATTAAAAAGATATGGAGCAAGACAGAAAGAGACAAGACTACCCAGAAGACTCCCTCTCTGTGGGACAACTTTCCTCTGACCTCTACCAAAGTCAAGTGTCTAATCTTACAGACATTAAGTAGGAAAAGAAGAAATAATTTTCTAATGACTCAAAACTGTACAATATTTTTTTTGGCAATTTCTTGAATTTTCTTTTTATAATGATCTAGTTAAATAATCCAAAGAGTTTATAAGGCTATGCAGAGAAAAATAAAATCCTCCCTTCTTCCTGGGCCCTTACTGTTTGGGCCAGTGCCTCCCTCAGACTTAGCCAAGTCTGTGTGGTTGAGCTCCCCAAGCTGCCAGGCAATTTTCCAGGGTTCTTGATTTGTCAGCCCTTAGGCCTGACCTCAATCTGGCATACTGACATGTTCTCAAAGAACACCCCAAAAGCACCAGACCACAAACACAGCCAGCCAGCCATCACCAGAGCTTGCTGCACTGTCCCCTGATCTCACAGATGCCACTTGATGTTTTTGCAGTTGCTTCTTGACTAATGATGGATGTGTACTCCGGCAAACCCGTTGTTAGTTGAAATATTGTTAAGACAGAAATGCAAAAGGTCCTAGCTCAGCAACACAGCACACTGTAGGGCATGGTGGTTTCCTCTCATGATCTGGAGCTGTGGCTTCCTGCTGCCACTGGCCAGCCTCACAAGAGAGTTATCTCACTACATACTGCTAGCTTGGGAAAAGATCAAAATTCAAAATTTGAAGTATGGTTTATACTGAATTTGTATCACTTTCGCAGTATCATAAAGTCAAGAATTGTAAGTCAAACCATTGTAAGTCAGGGACCATCTGCACATCCTAACCCTTCCTTTGTGGTTCTCTTTGGCTCCACCACCCAACTAGTAGAAGTAACTATGGTTGCCCAAAGAAGAGTGAACCTCAGAAAAAATAATATCATAAAGGAGTATTCAAGGCCCCACTTCCACTCTCCCATCACGGAGGGTCTTGGTTTTGGACGGAGAGAAGGTCAAATTTAGTGTCCAGCTCAATAGACTCCTAGGAATGAAGGGGTGGGGTTAGGGGGGGCTTGGTCCTATAACCCAGAAGACACTATTATGGCGACACTGTTACTAGCCTTGGTTCACCACTTAGCACTCTGGCAAGTGACAATCTCTTTTCTTGGGTGGCTATAAATCTGTCCTTGCTTCAGTTAAAGTCATCTTTTCAAAAATTGCCGTTTGGACTTCAGAGAACCGTTTTGTCAATGGCACACATAATGACCCTTCCTAACTTGACCTTGGTAGTTAGTTTATTCTCCCTTTGGGCTCCTCTCTAGACTTTAAAACGTGATTTTAGAATCAAGTCAGAGATGGTTTACTTTCCCTGGAACACCAGTCCTTAGTAGAATTGAGAGGAAGGATTTTGGTTTTGATTTTGGTCTTTAATTTTGTTTTGGGGTGGTTTAGGGTTGTAGTTGATGTTTTTAAGCAAAGAAGGGGACTTTTTCATATATAATCTTGAAAGAAAGAGAATTTCTAGAGTGTCAGGATTTTCCATATTTCCTGACAAGATCAGGTACCTTCCCAGATATTGAAAGGATAAAAGAAACTGAAGTTAAAGACCAGGCATTGTAAAGCTTCTAAGCTGCAAAGCCTGAGTTAAAATGTAAAAGACCAGGTATTGTAAAGTTTCTAAGCTACACTCAAAGCCTGACATTCCTGTGGCAGTTAAGACAATCCACGCAACCGCCCATTAGGTGTGTGTCGGAATTTCCCCCTTGAATACCTAGTTGCTTAATAACCCGGACCCTGAGCAGCTCAGCACGTACGCACTCCGGGGCCTAAACCAATCAGTTTAAATGTGTACCCCGCTTTAGGACTAACCTATCACCCCCGCCCGACCTGTTCCCGCCAATGAATGTACTAATCATGTTCGAGAGTTGTTGTTTGATTTTCCCGTGGTGCATGGTGATTTGTTGAAGGGGACTGTGATGTATGTAAAGTCCCTTCCCTCCCTAAAAAATGTATATAAACCCTGCTCAAGTTATTCTCGGGGCTCTTGGCTGCTCTCCCTTCTTGAGTGAGCATGGAGCCCCAGCATGCTGGATCTTCAATAAACCCCCTTTGCTGTTGCATGTGTCGGTTTCTTGGTGGTCTCTTCCTCCGTCGTTCGCCGGTCCCTTACAATATATGGCATTGACTCACATCTTATTCTGATGTTTGGGTGGCCTTAGGTCCTTTCAAGATTCTGTCATTAGTTTTCCCCTGGCTAGGTGTCCCTGCCATTACTACAGTGGTAATGATACTTCCAAACTCGAACCACATGGAGGAGGAAGGAGACATTTCTTAAATAATGGGAATGTTATTACCAGGAGATAGGGGGAATAGAGACTGTGCAGACAGAACAAGAAAGGTCTACTATCTCCTCAGTTTACAGGTAAGAAAAGTGAGGTTCAGCATCCCTCCCCACAAGAGCCAGCTTCTACTGTGTGTGTTGCCAGAAGAATTACATCCTGGTTTTTAGGGATGGGGAAAATTAGACACATAAAGTGGAGGCAAATTGTTCTAAGATCACAAGCTAATGAGTGATAAAACCGGAACCTGGATCCAGAAGTTAGGACCCATAGTATTTTAAATATATTTGGCAAGTTACCTGGCATTCACTGGGAAATTGAATCTATCTGAAAAATAGGTCTTTTCCATTTGTTAAGAGGTAGAAAATTTGTACATGGTGTTCTTAACTGAAGCTCTTAGCAGAAATGTTGATATTTTAAGTTTATTTATTTATTCTCCCCCACTAGTTCATTTCTATTCAATGTCTATTGGACCCTCCCAGAAACCTTGCAAGGAATGGGACTTTTTCTTTGTTATAGCACCTTTGGGACTGGGTGTGCAGTATTTTTTTTTTTTTTTTTTTTTTTTGCAGAAATCTTTTTACCAAAGTGAAACAGACATATAGCAAAGAGCATATATCTTAAGTTTGTAGCTCAGTGTTGTTTTAACAAATGTCATTATTTAATTTTTTGAAAGTATCATTGAGGTACATTTATTACAAAATGCTTAGGGTAGAATGGCCAGCCTCCCTCAGTGCTGGGCAGATAAGACCCCTAGGAAAGGGTTCCGGGGGACCAGCATGCAGCTCATCAAGAACTGGAAAGCTTAGATACAGGTTGCAGTTTTTATGTTTGGAAACTTCTGGTACTAAGCGTTTAACAAACAAATGAGTGAAAGGGAAACATGGTTAAGGTTATTATTTGTATTTTTTTGATATCAGAAGTTGCTGAGGATGCATTCTCCTGGCTCTGAAGGGTTATGGACATCCAGTAGGTTAGTATTCTTCATATGAATACTAACACTGAGACTGAACTTATATTCTATCTCCAGGCCTGAAAAACAAAATACATTGAATAGTGGAGGGAACCAACAAAGCTTTGCTCTTTGTTCAAGGCCATTCTAGGAATAATTGA